AGTTCCCTAGAAGCCAGCCTCCATAGGGTTGCTGAAACCATACAGGAGTCTTTGAGGAAGGATATATATTACTTTTGGGAGTATTATCCCAGTATCTTAGAAAATGTAGCCTCTAAAGGCTAACAGTGAAAGATAGGAAGACTCAAAGCTCCAATAGAAGTCAGTGAGAACTGATAAATGTCACAAATAATACAAGGTCTACACCACCTTATGTCCATGCAATCATCCTGAGTCAAAGCCTGCCATGCATCAAAGTCTAAAGTTATTGTAAAGTCTGCTACCAACAGAGCATCTATCCACAGGCAAGACAGTCTAAACTGTTAGGACATAGCTTCTACAGAGTTTGAGGCATTTTGTAAGGTACATATAAAGCATTTCTGTTGGTCAAAATTTTTCACACATAACAACCCAGCTGTTCATTCCACTCCAAAATACTATTAAAATATTATTTAAAAGATACTATTAAAAATACCACTAGTGTCTGGGGTTTGCATGGCCCATCTTTTCCACAGATTCTTACCTCACATAAAGCAGCTGGGCATGAAGTTGGCAAGCCTTGGACTACTAAAAAGGTTGCAATGCTTGAGATGTCTTTGCGATGAAAAGCAGGATACCTGACAGTTAGCTAACAAACTACTTCCAAGGGTGAGCTTGCAACTGATTATTTTTGCTGCCTATCATGTGTCATCCCATTTGTTGGCTTGTGTTATGCACACTGACTTTTAATGCTTCTTCTGAATGATCATGCTGACTGAAGCATAGGGCCTATTTTTACTTCACCTGAAGCTGGGTGAGAGCTTGTGCATCAGTGTACATGAATTTGAACCCTGAGTGGACAGAGTGGAGTACCTGTAGCAGAAAACATGACTTAGTATTTTAGCCAGATGGACATAATTTAGGTTATATATCAAGCAGTCTTTAACATTGCATATGATCAGGATAGCTTGGCTGCATTGTTGAAAATGGAACTGCAGCAGCAAAACTCTCAGCAGAGATTAAGCACATAATCATTCAGGCAGCTTCTTTAGGTTTGTGACATTAGTAGTCAAACGAAGTGTTGTTAGGTTTGGTGTCAGTTGCAGTCACTGCAGAATAAACACGCTCTTAGACAAACGAGAATTTGCTCCTATTCTCATTGTACTCAACAGCAAAATGCCAATTTAGTCTATGGATGGCAGGCTTTTGCCCCAAGGAGCATGAGTTCCCTTATCTGTAATAGAGTAATGTGAAAGGCAGGTAATTCAGTGGTACTGACATTCATTACTAGAAAAGGAAAACAATAAAAATAAAGTTAAAACCTTCAGAGAGTGGTTCGTCATTTCCATAGTGGTGACTTCAGTTTGTTTTACATACAGTAGAAACCACAAATGACTCAGTGGATTTTATGATTTACAGAGGGATTGCATTGCCTGAACACATGACAATACATTGTAATGAAAGTGACAGTCTTGTTGTATGACATCTCTTCCATTTTTAAGAGTTACAGTGAGAGAGAATTTTAATGGGTTGATCTCTTGGCATATTTTTCTCATGTGTTTCTTAAAAACATCTTGTGCCTTTCTTAATGCTTTTGTTTCAAAGCAGTTCTGCATTCTTTTGCTCCGTCTGTTCTGTTTCCTTAGTTGAGATACTTGTGTTCTGTTTATTGTACTTGTACTCTCTTTTTGCAGTGTCATGCCTTCACACAAATAAACATCTGCACACAAACAAACAGTCTTCCAGTCCAGCGTGCCTTTGATGCACTGAAAAAATTTACTCTCTGGGAGAGGATAATCTTTAACATGATGGCTATCGTCCCACTCCAGTCCTCCTGTGACCTGATAGTGGTCATCAACAGAGTAAGAGTTACTGAGGAGTCATCTAACATCTTTGTGAGATAGATGCTCCAGCTGGAGAGACAGCTTGATGTCGAGACTGGAGATGCACAGAATAGCTCAGAACTGCTAATGCCTCCATTTCCTACAGAATGCCTGAACGCCTGAGTTTCGTACAGAACATAACCTGATGCTATGTGGCATTTACTGAATAACATATATTTTATATAGCTACAATGGAAAAAGTTTGAAAAGAGCCCGTCTGTTTATTAGAGTGATTATTTACTGGAGTGCTTTAGTGTTAACATGTATGTGAAATGCTTCAGAGAAGATTTATATAACTTCAACAGATTCAGTCATCTGGGGTAAACACACACAGAGCAGGAAATTTGTAGTAAGGCTCAGGTTATAGCATGTGTGTATATATATTTATATACATACACACATATATAGCTCATACATTTGAGAGACTTGGTGACTAAGGCAGCCCTTTCCATTGCTCCGCTGCACTGGAAAAAGCCTGACCTTGCATCCATCTGCAATGTGAATAACTCTATGAATATTCGTTGCTGTCACTGTGAGTCCATGTCATTGAGTGATATGTAGGATCTATCTTTGATCTCTTATTGTTAATAAGTATATTTGCACAGTATAGAAGAGGCCTTGTGAGGCTTCCTTGACCTGTGTTTATATTGTGTTTAAAGTTTTTGTATATGCTAACCATTAAAATGTGAAGTATTGTGAATTGCTTTATTTACTGTTGAAACGGAGATCGTCATGACTAATGACAAAATGGAGAAGGAAGATCATACCTATCTGAAACTTTGGAAATAGCAGAAACAATGGCATTTTTCTATTTGGATTTTGCTAGGTCACAAGTCTGCTCCAGCATGGCCTTCTGTCCATGGATCACAGCATGGATGTCTGCTCAAACATGGTCCCTCATGGGCTGCAGGGGAATTACTGTCACCATGGTTCTCACCCAGGGCTGCAGGGGAATCTCTGCTTTGGTGTCTGGAGCACCTCCTCACCCTCCTTCTTCACTCACTGGTGTCTGCAAAGCTGGTTCTCTCACATTTTTCTCACTACTCTCTCTCACAACTCATATGCAGAATTTTTTGCCCTTTCTTAAATATGTTATCAAAGAGGCACCACCGGCATAGGCTTAGCTTTGGCCAACAGAAGGTCCATTTTGGAGGCAGCTGAAAATGGCTCTAACATGAGGCATCTACTGGTGTCTTCTAACAGAAACCACCGCTGCAAGCCCCACTGATATCAAAACTTTGCCATGTAAACCCAAGCCTTTTATTCTGAACCAGACCTAAAAATATGTCTCTGCTTTGGGTACCTGGTGGCAGAGTACTACAGTGCTGTATCACAGAATGCTTATTTTAACTTAAAATAGCCATCTTGCCCATATGGGTAAGAACATTAGCGGAAGTAATGGCATTATCCTGACATAAAAAAAGTCTTTTTTTTTCCCCTGCCTTAGAAATACATTTATTACCCTGAAAAATCTCTATATTGGACAATAATTCTTTTTTTTTTTTTTTTTTTTTTCAATGTGGATGAATCATTCCACATCCATAGCAATGAGAGTCCTTAGTTCTACATGCCCTAGAGTGTCACTGCTTCAGACAGAAATACAACCTTTCGGGGATCTTCATCTTAGATCTCTGCCTGAGTGTATCCACCTTCGCTCTGCTCAGGTGGAGACTGGTGCATGCTAATGACCCACATATGACTGAAGTTCTTGAAAGACATTATATACAGCCTGCACTTACCTTCTGGCTGCTGCTGTTAAAATGTCAGCACTGGCCCAGCTTCTGGTTTACAGCAACCTTGAGGTATGCCTAAACTTGCCTTTTTCAAATCAAGGACTGCAGTTCCAATGTGGTTGAGCTGAACTCCTAGAAATCAGTGTAAACATCAACATCAGTGCTGGGTTCTGAAACTTTCCCATGAGGCTCATGCTGCAAAAAATGTTACAATCCTTTATTATGTGCAACTGATTTTTTAGCTATAATTAACATGATTCCTCACGTGGAAGTTATCTATGATGTGACAGCGTTGCTGTAGAATAGGAATATGCCTGGACGTCATTCCTTACCTTGAAAAATTAATCTGGAATCTTGGAAGAGTCTGGGCACTTCTGTTTTCCAAGATATCCGAACTCCTAACACAGCCTTCAGGGTCTGTCATGGCATTTTCAAAGTGCTACTTATCTGGGTAACTCCTACCTGACTTCCAAACTCACTGGATTTTATACCTTTTGAAGTAGATCTTTTGCAGCTGTGGTTTTTGTGGGTAAGAGAGGGCAAAGTATTTTCTGGATCATGCAAAATAGTGACTAGAAAGTAAAATTTTCCATTTTGCTTCTTATGAATTTGTTCAAGAAACAGTAAGCGGAACAGGTTGCCTAAAGAAGTTGCGAATGCTCCATCCCTGTCAGTGTTCAAGGACAGGTTGGACAGAGCTTTGGGTGACAAGGTCTAGTGTGAGGTGTTCCTGCCCATGGCAGGGGGTTGGACCAGATGATCTTTTAGTTCCCTTCCAACCCAAACCAGTCTATGATGCTATAGCTGGTAGCAGTTTGCAGAGATAGTCATGCCAGCTGCATAAAAACCCCCGTCCTGTTGCTGGGAACCACAGTTTTTGAAAGAAGTAGAAGAGCTGACCAAGACAACAGTCACCACCCTTCCAGCTCTGCATCTCACCATGGAGATTTTCAGGGGTCCATTTTCCTTCCAGATCTTTGGAATATCCCACTGCTGTGTATGAACCTGCAGAAATGCCTTTTTCCATGGGCCATAGAGGATGGTGAACCAGTTGGCCAGGGTGAATCAGAAAAATACCCAAAAGGGCTACAGTGACTGCTGTATTTTCTCAAGTTTTGATATTTTATTGACTTAATTCACTTTCTAAATAGCTTTTTATTACTTCCAGTTGAAAAAATTAAATAGCAAGAACAGCAACTTGACAATTCTTAGCAATCTGGTTATTTCTCTTCATGATAAATACAGAGCAGAACCTAGTTGTACTGGTTTAAAAATCCAAACCTGAACTTTGCAACTTGCTCCTTAAAATCGCTTTCTTGTCCCCTTTTCAGCAAAGATTCTATTTCCATCTTTAGTTTGGCCACGAGATGGCAACAACCTGCAGACAAAATGCTGAAACAGCCAGACAGATTTGAAACTCTCCCTTCCCGAGCTCTTCCCTGTGCTCTTCCCCCTCCTTTTTTGTTTCAGTATTTAATTGCATTTATTTCGGAATTACTAGGCAACCCACCCCCAGATGTGTAATTTAAAGGTGATGTGCTTGCAGTGAGATTTTCAGGATCTGCTCGGCAGAGCACCATCATGTGATACTGGGATAAGGTGGAGTTCGGCTTTAAGGGGGAGTCTCCAGCCTTCCTCACCAATCTTTAGGATCTCAGCTGGAGGACTATCAGAGGATCTTTCCCCATTCCTACTTCATCCAGCCTCCTGAGCCAGCCCCATAGCAGACCAAAGGCGGACAGAGCAATTGCAAGGTGAGTTTCCCCTGACGTTTCTTTCCTGTGGCTGTGGGTGGCTGCGTCCGGTTTGGCTCGTGTTTCCTTGCTCTCTTAGATGCAGATGACAAAACCCCAGGCAGGAGTAGGCTCCAGGTTGGACTTGTGAGTGGCTGGGTTAACCATCACCTTGGACAGTTTTTTGTGCTTCATTTCGAAGAGCTCCAATGGCTTTACAGTGTATTTCCAGTCACCTAACAGAACGTTATTTCACCCTTTCTGTCTGTTGGTGCTAAACTTTTGACTCCTGGAGAGCAAGAAAGGTGTGTGTGCTGGGGGAGACTGTGCAGTCCCCTGGAGGAGTCTGTGTGCTCTTCTGACACCACTCCAGCATCCAGCACGGGGAGGGATCTCCCTCCTGGCTTGGGAACCAGTGGGATAGGGGACAGGGAGCCATGCAGCTGTCCAGAAGATGCAACTTATCCCCCTCCTGATATCTGGCCCATTTTGGAGTGGTGGGCAGGAAGGAAGGATTCCTTGTCACTTGGCAGCAGTGCTGTGTTTCTGAGTTGTGCTGTTAGGTAGCATCTCTGTTATGGGGAGAGGAAAGAGAAGAAGGAGCAGTGACATTTTCTGATTTTGAATCTGATATTTAGTAAATAAGGAAGAGCAGAGCTTGGCTCAGGGAAAAGAAAAATCAAGAGCCTGAAACATATGTCACCTCATTGCTGGGTGCAGTCCAGTCCCAGCTGGTGAGAAAACCTGCCCAGTTCTCTCCTTGCAGCACATGGCTCCTCACCCACTTTGCTCCTGCCATCATCCCATCAAGTCCCAGGTCTGGACTGTCCACCTCATGCTTTGTGAGTGACAGTGGAGGTCATAATGTAATCCACATGTTGATCGTCAGGCTGGGATAGAGTCATATGTTTGGAACTGAGGAGTCCTGGCTCTCCACATCACCCACGTGCTTGCCCTTCTGCCTCTGGCTAAAGTGATGCTTCAGGAGGCCCAGGGGGTGGGAGGTTGTTTAGACTTTGTGGATTAGGGAGGCAAGATAAATGTAGTTAGCAGAGGCAGCAGGTCTCAGAGATAATGCTCGGGTGTATGCCTATCCAGCTTGAAAACTAGAGCAAACAAACCTTAGCAGAGATGCCTTTTGTCCAAAATCACTGATATTAACTTTGACAGTAAAATGTCACTCAATGTCAAGCTACACCGCCTGTTGCAGTTTTGTGTAGCCATGTGGTGACTATAAGGAACCAGCACAGTTAGCTGAGGTGAGGTCATGGTGCCAGTGAGAAGACATGGCACTGGCAAGGTCATTATTTGCCTGACCCTCATGAGGAGATGCAGCTGCAAGCCCAGCCCTCACATGCTGACTCTGCCCCACTGAGGAGGCAGACCCAGCTTTGGTCTTCAGTAGGTGGCTGGTTAGAAAGGTGTTTGCCATGATAGAATCATAGAATGCCAGCTTGGAAGGGACTTGAAGGATCATCTGGTCCAACCTTTCTAAGCAAAACATGACTTAGACTAGATGTCCCAGCACCTTGTCCAGCCGAATCTTAAGTGTCCAATGTTGGGCAATCCACCACTTCTCTGGGGAGATTATTCCAACAGCTGATTCTTCTTATTGTGGAAAATTCCCCTTTTGTATCCAGTGTAAATCTCCCCAGTAACAGACCAAGTGACAGACAAAGATCATTCTGCTCTGGAGATTTAGAAGGCACTGAGATTTATATTGAGCATAATTTAAGACCAAAAGCTCACCCATTCAGGGTAACTTTTAACGAAGTACATTTTAGTGGGCAATGTTTTTACAGCTTCTGTGATAAGCGCCATATGGAGCTGGGTTTGAAACCCACTTGTGTGAATTTTAAGTAGCATTACTTTCATTATTTTAACCTAAGGTTAAGTGAGCCATAAATTTGGCTCATGGGAGAGCGTGCACAGAGGGAAAGTTCCAGGTTCAGCACAGCTGCCACTGATGAAGAGTTGGAGTAAAGGTGTGCCAGGTTACTTGATTTCTTTCTTTCTTTTATTTTTCTCCCTCCTGAACAGATATGCCCGAGTTTCTCTAATATTAAAATTCAAGGCCTTTCAAAAAGGTGGTCATTTAGGCAAGTCTATTTGTGTTGCTTGGATAAAAAAAAAAAAAAAATCTGCAGTATTTAATTTTTGCTGTTTTATCTTTCATTTTGTTTTGTTCTTTCTTTGCTGCACAGCGCTGCTAGCTGAGATTAAGGTATTCAGAGTTCCTGATTTGCCGTTGACTCAGTGCCACTGTTGCTGTGGGCACTCGGCCGCTCAACATCAAGTGAACATTATTAGGTAAAAGGGAATGCAGCAATTTTTTGAATCATTTTTCCAACCCCCACATTAGTCAGATGGGTTTCCCCCCCTGCTTATGGGATTGCTGGTTATAATTCCACTTAAGTAATCTTAAGAAAGCAGATCTTTGCAGTTTAAACTTGTACAAAGGAGGTGTAAAATGTAAAGTAAAGGCTACACTGCTGGAAGACTGAAATTGCTTCTCAGTTTATTTCAGGTAACTTGTGCCGGTGGGAATGGGTCTGGAATAGTTTGGGAAAGGGTCTCGTCCCTGCCTGCAGACGGGCAGTTTGATCCTGCCTCCTGCCTTCCTTCCCGAGCACCGTGGTGCCCGCTCCCAGCTCGGACCAGATGATACGAACGCCGCCGTCCTCCCGCGGGTGTTTCCCTCCCCACCCGCGGGGCTGTCTAACCATCCCACCCGCGGTCCGGGCCGTCCCTCGGCACCGGCGGGGCGAGCGGCGGCGCGCATCCCGCCGGCCACAGGCGGCTCCTCTCCCTGCGGGACCCGGGGGCGCCGCAGCTCCACGCCGGGGGGCAGGCGTGAGTGTGTCGGGGAGGGCAACATGCCTGGGGGTGACGGGCCCTGCTCCTCCCTTCTCCCCAGGTGGTGCGAGGGGGATGCAGCACCGAGGAGCGGGCTTGGCAGAGGGTTCCTTGACGGGCGCGGTTTGAACGCCGGGAGCGCTTTGGATGCCGGCGGCGGCAGCAGCAGCGGCTGTGAAGGTCGTACAGAGCTGGAAACGACATGAATTCTTCGGTTCTCACCCCGCTGGGGAATATGACCGGTCTTCTGAATTTTTCAGAGAAGAACTCACAGTTCTTGCAGTTTGAGGATGAAGATTGCCATGTGCCTTTGGCCATGGTCTTTACTTTGGCCTTGGCTTACGGCACTGTGATAATTCTGGGAGTTTCTGGGAATCTGGCCTTGATTGTCATTATTTTAAAACAGAAGGAGATGCGCAATGTTACCAATATCCTCATAGTCAACCTGTCCTTTTCTGATCTTTTAGTGACCATCATGTGTCTTCCCTTTACCTTTGTGTATACTTTAATGGACCACTGGATTTTTGGGGAGGCCATGTGCAAATTGAATCCTTTTGTGCAATGTGCCTCAATTACAGTCTCAGTCTTTTCTTTAGTCCTCATTGCTATTGAACGCCACCAGCTGATCATTAATCCTCGTGGCTGGAGGCCAAACAACAGACATGCGTACATGGGGATTGCTGCCATATGGATTTTAGCCACAGCTTCCTCTTTGCCTTTCCTGATCTACCACGTGCTAACAGATGAACCCTTCAGAAACCTAACATTTGATGAATATAAGGACAAATATGTGTGCTTGGACCTGTTCCCTTTGGACACTGCTAGGCTCTCTTATACCACAACGCTTTTAGTGATCCAATACTTTGGACCGCTTTGTTTTATATTTATTTGCTACTTGAAGGTAAGAGGCAATCCTGTTGCAATATGTACTTTTTCTGTTTTTCTGTTTATCCTTGCAAAGTTGATGGCTGTAGGTTAAATTATTCCACATTTCTCTATGTTGAATTTCCTGCAGATATACATACGGCTGAAAAAAAGGAACAACATGATGGACAAGATAAGAGACAGTAAGTACAGATCCTCTGAAACCAAAAGGATCAACATCATGCTGATCTCAATAGTGGTTGCCTTTGCAGTTTGCTGGCTGCCCCTCACAATCTTCAACATCGTCTTTGACTGGAATCATGAAATTTTGCCTGTTGCTACCTGCAGCCACAACCTGTTGTTCCTGATTTGCCACCTCACTGCCATGATCTCTACCTGTGTGAACCCCATCTTCTATGGGTTTCTCAATAAGAACTTCCAAAGGGACCTGCAGTTTTTATTTCACTTTTGCCATTTCCGGTCCCGTGAGGAGGATTATGAGACTATAGCCATGTCCACCATGCACACAGATGTTTCAAAAACCTCTTTAAAGCAGGCAAGCCCAGTCGCATTTAAAAAAATAAGTAGTGATGATGATGACAAAATATAAAGAAGTAATAAATATTCTACACCCAACTGCTGAAAGTGAGATTGCAGGTGAAACGTGTCCAAGGACAAGCACAATTACATAACAAGAACAGAATGGGTAGTGTTTTTCTTCTTTTTCCAAGGAACTTTGATTGTTGTCACTTTGAAATTGGACGCTGTGCATTTTTGCCCATTTTACTGCTTTAATGTTCACAGCAGTTACATCTGAATCTTATTATAAGACATAGTCAGACCTGCTACTACCTATGGTTTTCATCAGCTGTTTTTTTGTTCTGTTCTCTTTGTACAGTTATGAGCTTTAGCACAAAGACATATTTATTGATTTTTTTTCTTTCAAAGAAGTGCTTTTCAGGAGTGTCTGTCTAAGACCATTAGAAGCAATATGAACCCCAGGAAAGCTGTCACTACAGAGGACACCCATCCCAGCATAAAATTAGGACATTCTGATTTGAAGAGCTCTTTTTTTCCTTTTTTTTTTTTTTTTTTAATCCAGTTTTTGGTTGATGTTAAAATCCTGTAAAATCAGCCTAGGCATGCAGAAAAATGATTCTGTGAAACCTGTAGGATATGTTAAATGGGGACATGCAGTTGTCTCATTCAAAGACTCAATTCAGGCTGTAATCACTTAGGTTCAAAGACAGGATTAAGAGAGAAATTTTGTTCTCAATTAAGAGAATAAAACCCTATAGTAATTCCACAGAGGAGATAACTCTGATGTTTCACAGCAGCCAATGAAAGCACAAACAGACCTTCAGTCCCAACTGATTGCAGCTGATTGCAATATTACAGGCTTTTTAATTTAAAAAACCCAAACCCCATTTTCATCTGCTGTCACTGACAGGAATTAGTGTGGCTGGGGTTACTTGCATTATCTGTCCCAATCCTATGAACCATGTAAATTCACCTTGAGATGTGTGTCCAGAATCTAAAGGGAGATGGGACTGCTCACTGTCTGGACAAGGTGCAATTCCATTCTCACAGGTGGCAGTGAAAATCAGGTATGGTATTAAAAAAAATTAAGCTTTAGCTATCTGAGGTTTTTCATAATAATTAGTGCTGATCTATATAAATTATGTATAGGCTCATAATATTGTGTGTTCAGACGCAGTGGTATAAACCTGGATTATCTCCAAGACAATGAATGGTTTAATCAAGATCTGCAGAATTTAAAAGGAGGATATGAATATAGTTTGGGTGTAATTAGCATGCTTAGCTTCCAGACTCACAGTGGTTGCAGTTGGTTGAAGTGCAGAAATATTTGACAAATACACAAAATAGAGCTCTGTGTATTATTGCTTGAAGCATATATACTTTAATTACATGAAATATACACAAGTAGATCCCCACCTGAGGGAAACCCACATAACTTGATTGCTGTAAGTGAAACTACAATATCCACCAGCTGAGTTTCTGTGTCATACAGTGTACTTTGCTGTATAATCAATGCCTTTTTGAATAGTCAGCTTTTTAAAATACAACATAGACCTTACTGTCTTTTCGCAAGGTCGCTTTAAACCGTTCTGGCAGAGAAGAAGGTCTTTGAAATGTCTATAAATGTAAATGTAGCACAAATGGCAATCTGATCTGATGTCTCTCTGAGCAAAAACCATCTCAGGATGTGATGGTAAATTTAATATGCTCTAAATTTGACAAGGATAAATGCCTAAGAAATGAAAATTATTTGGTTTGCCAGTATTTAAAAGTCAAAAACTGTGCCTTGTGCTGTCCTATATATAGTGTAGAATATTAAAGTAGCAATGTGTTCTTGTGCATTATAATTCCATGTATTTCTCTACTGGCAGGTAATATAATTAAAAAGGAGGTTTCTGTGGTTGAGGACAGACAGGGAATGTAGAAAATGAATTATAAGACAGAACTTTCTTTTAGAGATTTGCAATTTTATATTTTATGAGATTTCCCTTTTCTTTGTGGCTCCCTATGGAACATGTTGCTAATAATTTGACAATGGTCTCCTGAAATTATTTCCTTGTTACTTTACAGTAATTTTCATATGCTAAGGGGGGTGCATTTTCACAAAGAGATACAATGTAGAAAACAAACCAGGCTTTTCTATTAAGAATATCACAGATGGCTTTTCCCATTAGGAGTAAAAAATAAACCATCACAGTGAATTTTATATTTTGGTGGCTTTTTCCCCACTTTTTTTTTCGGAAAAAAACCTAAACAAACCAACCAAAAAAACCAAACCCAAGCAGAAAAACAATCCTCTTCCAATCCAGTGGAAGAAAAAAACAGAATTATTTGCAAAAGCTCCCAGTTAGTTTGCTGGAAAATATTTGATGAGGCTAAGTTAGGTATTTATACAGAATAGGCATAGGAGCAACTTTAGATAACTGCTGGTGAGCAGAGATGTGAAACTGGTGTGTCCTGAGATTTGGAGATGTCCAGTGGGATAGCAACAATTCCTTCTGTGTCAAACTTTCTCCTGCTTGAGGCACAGTCTCAAATCATACAGCCAAATCTGATACCATCTCATACTTTCTCCTGAGTTTTTTTCTCCTACATTTCTTCCAAGAATGTGTCTGAAGTGTTTTTTGCTGCTAACACCTGATAAAGTGAAGTAAAACCAGAAGCATTCCCTTGTATCAGGAGACATTTTCTGCTGTCCTAGGATCAGGCTTCTCTTATATGTTCCCTTACTTCCCTGGAAGAAGCCTTTCTGAGCCTCTGCTAAAGACACAGGCTGGCACACCATACAAATAGCTGCCTGAAATGACAATGGAAATGAAAACAGTGGAAGGAACGTTCAGCAGGAAAACGCATTTTGAGAATTTTAGAAGCAAATTTAGAAGCAAAATCACTGCTCTTCTGAAGAATTTGTTGTGAGGACAAAGATAAAAGTAGTCTCTCTGAGGTGCTGCCCTGACATCTGCAGGGCATAGATGACATCTATTGAGAGCGCTATTTTTATCTTTGGTTTCATGACTTCACACTGGAGTCCTCAAAAGCCACTGGAGACTTTCGCTTCCTGACACCTGGCTACAACGCTAATGCTCTTTTTCACTTTCAGAGCTCCAGCATGGCTTCTCATCCTCTACATACTACATTTCTTTACAGGGTAAGCTGCCAGGTTTCATGTTTCTCTATCATTTCTCAGTCGTTCTGGTTTGATATCTGTCCCTCCTAGGTGCACTTTTGTCAAACTCCCCACACTTCAGCACATGCTGATTCTTAGCTCAAAAGCCTGAAGATCCCTCTTAATCTTTCAGACTAGTAGAAAAGTTTTACTGACAGAAGAACAGAACAGTGAGGGATCTATAATCTGTCTTACTATTTATGTGCCATACATTTCATGTCAAATTTACAGCCTTAAGTTACAAATATAACTATTTAATAAACATTAATATCTGCTTCATTTGTCAATTATTTTGTCATCTTAGATTTCACTTGCATCCGCCATAGGCATTTCAAGCTTCTGCATAATCTAAATACAACTGCATATTTGTATGTCTTTTTATCAAGCACTTCTGTATTTCCATATTGCTTTTTTTTTTCTTTACATATTTCCTGGTTGTATCATTGTCATTAAGTACAGTAATCCACAACTTTCACATCTCCCTTTAAAAAAGGGTAATAGTAAAGAAAGTAACTAATTGACAAAAATATCTGCTTTTGGTAGGCTAGGAAAACAATGGATATTAAAAACAACAACAGAAAAAAACAACAAATAAACAAAAAACAACACCCCACCCCCACCCCAAGATCCCCACCTCATAAATCATATTTCAACCAGAAAAAGGAATTAACTTGATAGGACCCCTCAGGTCACTTGAGGTGATGCTGACTGCATCTCAACACTGTTGAAGGTGTGCAGGGCTAAGGGTTCACATATTCTAACTCTGATATCTTGCAGTACAGTACCAGCTATTACTAATGGATGCTAAAAGCAAAATTTGATACTGACTCATATTCAGACTGTAAATCAGCATATGTTTAAATCCAGACCTGTTCATCAAGTTCTGATTCTGACCTCAGAAAAATGTTCTGAGATCAGTGAAACTGGAGAATTTGCTTAATGTCAATCATTTGCCTAAGCGCTCTATCGAATAAAAGTACACTGCTGTCTGACAGCTCACACTCTTTCCTAAAAATCAGATTTTGGATTTCAGCTTATTAAAGAAATAAATGGCCTACAGTTTTTCTCAGGATTTTTCTCTGGATTTTCTTTGGAATCCATTACCTGACAATGCTTCAGTTTAAGGCTTTGCTTCCTAAATCTTTCTATCAAAAAATTTAACAAACCATTGCCTAGAGAATTAAGATAATAAGGAAATTTTCTTTTTAAAATTATTTTCTTATTTTTAAAACATACTTAATAGCAGGAAATGTGAGCTTAAATAATACCTCTGTCTGCAATGGATTAAATTCATTCAGCTGAGTAGAAAGGGTGGAGAAATAATAATTGTAAAAAAATTATAAATTTTGTTGACAGCCATTTCTCACCTGAAGGATACATACAACTCAAAGCTCTACCATGTCCTCTCCATTACTGTGTTCTTTAATATGTGGTATTTGCTTCCCTGAGTCCTTGCTAAAGACCCAAGTCATTACCAAAGTTGATGTAAAAGAAAATTCTTTTCTTCTCTCTGTTTTTCAGGGTTTCAGTGTTCAAGGATTACATGTAAGAAACAAAAACATGACCAGCTTTAGTCTCTTACACTTTAATTACCTGTGATCAGAAATAACTTCTGTTCAGTATTTCTGCTCTTGCAAAACGGTGTTAATGGTCTAATTGAAGTTGATGTTTCAAATATTAGCGAAAATATTCACAAAGCCTAACTTCAGGATGGCAGTATTTATAGCCTCCTCCAATGGCAACCTGAGGACACTCACACCTGATCTACTTCAGGTATTATACACCTACCAAAACATCTTCCTCTCCCTTACCTGTGCAGGCTGCTAAGGGATGGCCAGCTTCCCAGACCTAGCACTAGGCCTAGTGACTACTACCTTCCTTCTTCCATCCTCCATGGTGCTTCTGCAGTCACTTCATGTTTCATTCCCTTGGCAGCTGGTTTCTGAGGAAGTCGTAGGAATTTATGCTGTTTGTAAAGAGAAGATGGTAAAATTCATCTCTATTCAGGACAGTGCTTTAAATAGTTTCTTCCATTAAAACTATCTTTAGGCAAGTTTCTGGTAGGCAAGTTTCTCAAAATTTGCACTCCATAGAAGTATGTGATTTACAAAGCCTGCACAGGAATTATGTCTATACAGAACATCCAGCTCATTGCAGCAAA